TCAGAAATGAAAGAGGTGAAATAACAACAGACCCAACAGAAATATAAAGGATTGTTAAAAATACTATAAACAACTCTATTTTAACAAACTAAACAACCTGGAAGAAATGGACATATTCCTAGAAAAATACAATCTTCCAAAACTCAACCAGGAAGATTGTAAAAATCACAATAGGCCTATAACTATGGAAGAAATTGAAGCAGTCATGAAAAAGCTTCCAGCAAACAAAAGCCCAGGGCCAGATGGCTTCACAGGGGAGTTTTACCAAACATTCAAGGAAGAACTAAAACCTATCCTCCTCAGATTATTCCAAAAAATTAAAGATGAAGGAACACTTCCAAGCTCATTCTATGAAGCCAGCATCACCCTAATACCAAAACCAGATAAAGACAACACAATGAAAGAGAATTACAGGCCAATATCCCTCATGAACATAGATGCCAAAATCCTCAACAAAATCTTAGCAAATCGGATCCAGCAGTATATCAGAAAGATAGTACACCATGACCAAGTAGGATTTATCCGGGGGATGCAAGGATGGTACAATATTCGCAAATCAATAAACGTGATACATCACATAAACAAATTGAGAGATAAAACCAAATAGTCATATCAATTGATGCAGAAAAAGCATTTGACAAAATTCAACACCCTTTTTTGATAAAAATTCTCAGCAAGGTGGGAATAGAAGGATCATACCTCAACATAATAAAAGCCAAACCCACAGCCAACATCATACTCAATAGGCAAAAACTAAAACAATTTCCCCTAAGAACAGGAAAAAGACAGGGATGCCCACTCTCACCACTCCTGTTCGACATAGTACTGGAAGTACTAGCCATTGTGATCAGACAAGAAGAAGAAATAAAAGGCATCCAAATTGGAAAAGAAGTAAAACTGTCCTTATTTGCAGATGACATGATACTGTACATATAAAACCTTAAAGACTCCATCATAATTATTAGAGTTAATAAATGAATTCGGCAATGTAGCAGGATACAAAATTAACGCCAAGAAATCTATGGCATTACACCTATAGTGAACTTACAGAAAGAGAGACTAAAAAAGCAATCCCATTTACCATCACACCAAAAAAATTAAGATACCTAGGAATAAATAACTAAGGAAGTAAAAGACCTATACGCGGAAAACTACAGGACACTGAAAAAAGAGATAGAGGAAGACATAAATAGATGGAAGAACATACTGTGTTCATGGATTGGTAGAATCAAGTTGCTTAATCTCAGTGAGCAGCACTCACTTCATTTGTAAAATGAGACAGATATTAACTGCAGTGTAGGCATACTGTAAAAATATGAGATAACATATTAAAGACCTTAGTAGGGCCAGAACCGGTTTGGCTCAGTGGATGGAGCGTCGGCCTCTGGACTCAAGGGTCCCGGGTTCGATTCTGGTTAAGGACATGTACCTTGGTTGCGGGCACATCCCCAGTGGAGGTATGCAGGAAGCAGCTGATCGATGTTTCTCTCTCATCGATGTTTCTGGCTTTCTATCCCTCTCCCTTCCTCTCTGTAAAAAAATCAATAAAATATATTTAAAAAAAAGACCTTAGTAGGTAGTTAATAAATAAAACATTTTATTTGATAGGCAGCTTGATGCAATGGAAAAAACCATGGGCTTTAGGGCCATTCAAACCTTTTTGGATGGGATTTCTACTTGTCCTCCTGCAAGTCACTTATCATACCTGAGCCTCCTTCTCATCCATAAAATGAATATTCTAACTCTTAGTGTGAATGAGAAATGAGAAATATGAAGCCCCTACCTTGTCAGTACTTGTTTATTGCTTAAATTTTTATTGAGTTACCATTTAAACACATTTAAATAGATATATGACCATTTTCTTGCGTTTTAGGTTTTGCATCTTGATTTTATTACCACTTTTATGGATTGTTTTTGTGTTGAAGTTCCCCTTAGAACTAAAGTGCATCTCAGATGCTAAATATTTCCCCCTTAAGAATTGAGTAACGTCTGCGGCAGCAGCATTTTTAAAGGTCATCCATGGATTATTATTGCCCTTCCTTATTCCTTTAATTCAAGAGATAAGCCCAAGGCAAAGTGAAATAAACTCCATGGCAAATTATCACAGACTAGAAAACAATTTTCTTGGAGTAAGAAAGCGAGTGTAATTTTCACCTGAACCAGAGCGGCAGAAAGTTTGTGATTAGCCTGCAGCAGCTGGGTGAAGCAATGTGCTCTGAGGCCAGACAGGCCTGGGCTGAATCGCAGCTTTACAGTTTCCACATTTATGAGTCTTTGTGTTTTATTTAGCCACTATGCTGCTCACTTTCCTCATTTGTAAAATCCAGGTAATGACATTTCTTAATAAAAAAATGAGATGCATATATAAAGCAACTAATAGACTGAAAACATGTTTCATTTTACAAACCTACTCTGAATAGTTGGTAGTTACTGAATGGTGGTAATTAGTTAAGGCTTCTTGAGGGAAATGAGAAAACATTTTGCATGCCCAAAGATGCAGAATGTGAGGCGTGGGAGCACATAAATCAGACATTTACCCATCCCCCAGCTTGCTATTCTGATTCATAGTAAACTTCAGTGAATTATTGTCATTGAAATCATTTTTATTACTGAAATATAATGAGTGGTTATATAAATATTTTCTAAGTTGTAATGAATAATACCCAACTAGGTTGGCTATGTACATTTTTCATATATTTTCCAAGATGCATTATTAGATTATATTTTCTATTTCTAGTCCTTTGATATTTCTCCATGTCACAAGTTTTACAAACTAATAATTGCTTATGAGTTTTGACTGAAGACAATGGGCCAGCCATGAATTATTTAGTAAATTAATAATATTTCATTTCAAAAGTAGGTTTTAATAATGATAGATTTCTGACTTAGAAAGAAAGTACACTGTCTGAAGTGATTTTTCAGACATCATCAACTTAAATATAGATATTTGAATCTCAAGCTCTATGGCATTGTGGTTCTCTTGCATTCTTTTACTAGACAGACAACCTACTGTTATTATTCTACAAATTAATTGGAATTTTTATAAATAAAAAGTAGAAACTATATTAAATGCAATGATTGTACAACTTCTAAAAAGTGACTTATGAACACTTGAAGATCCAAAGTAGAATTTCAGGTTGATTCCAAACAACCTGCAAACAGGCCCATTTTCAGCTGTAACTCTGATGTTAGTATGTTTTCTGATGGCTTTAGAATACATTTTAGAGATAAATATTTGAATACAATTTACCATTAATTGCTTTAAAAATTTCAGTACTTTAGAGATTGTGCATCCTTCCTGTTATATAAATTATATCTAGAATGGTTTTAATGTGAAGAGCAGTTCACTTTTCCTAAGAAAAATTAATATTTTCTTTATTTGGGAACATTTGTTAGTTTGTCATGGCAAAAAAATAAAATATAACTTTGACAGCATTTCAGTTTTTATAAAGATATTGTAACAAAAAACAATATAGTTATTACAGAAAATTAAAAAATTTATTCCTAATCTTACCAGTCTAACAACTGTGAGCATTTTGTGTATTTCATTGCAGTCTTCGGCCTTTACTTCAGTAGTTCTTGCATCTCACCCCAAGCATGAGATTGAATCTAATCAAATTCTTTTAAAGTGTGAACACGTTTTAGCTTTAGTAAAACAATACAAAACGCTTTCTAGCTATTATTTTCATGATAGTATAATTTAAAGACTATTCTCAGAACTAGAAACACATAGATGTATGTAAGTAGGTACATACATATACTTTTCACAATATTTTTTACTGACCAGTTGAGCCAGGGGCACTCAAAAGGTCAGGAGACTCAAATTAATTCAATTCATCAAACATATTAGTATTGACAATGCTGTACTGATCGAAGGAGAATATGGTTAAAATAAAAGGAAGCTTGCTCATCCTTGATATAAGGATATACAATCAATGTAGGTAATACATATAGAAAAAACAACTGACTATGAGCATAAATGGAAAAAGCTATCATAATGATGATTAGTTAAGCTGTAAAAGTCTGCTTGAAAAATAATGCAGGTTACCAGCCTATTGCTTGGCCTCAGGAACTGAATAGCTTCTACATTTGCAGTGCTTATTAAAGCTACAATATTTAACTTAAATACATAAATTATCTTAAAATATAATTTTTCCATTGGGTGATTGTTCTCCATAATCATATAAGGGAGAGAGGCAATATAATAAAAGAGCAACTGCTATACTTTTGGCATTATTTCCAATTATTTTCCTCTTACTTAGCTATTAGTAAAATGTTATTTGGTAGGTAAAATTTATATAAACTGAAAGTAATAACAGATGCCTCAAAGGCCTCAGACTAGCTTTAGAGTTGGTGCTGGGCATGATAAATAATTTGTCATATATTTATTAGATTTAAAAATGAAAGTGGTAAAGTTTGTTTACTTATTAAAATATAAAGTGCAAATAATTCTGAAAAAATCTAGCATTAATGCATAATCATAAGTTTGTCATTCCTTCATTTAATCTTACTTTCTCAATACGGTTGTAATCCTTACAGGGTAGGACCCTAAACTTCTCTCCTCTGGATCCTGCATAACGCTCTTCACTTAATAGTTATATTATATACGCTTATGTTTCTAAAGGAATGAATGAACATGAATTAAAAAAGCAAATGATTATATATAAGAAAGAACACTTATTTTCAGAAACACACACACACACACACACACACACACAAAAATGGTGACAAAGCACATATACTTGGGAATCAGATTTTCCTAGATTAAAAATTAAAGCTTTACCACTTAGTAAACTTTTTATTTTAGCCATTTCACTTAATTTCTCCAAACATGTTTTCTCTTCTGTAAAATGGAATGATGACGAGTTGTAGCGAATAAAATGAGATAGCAGATGAAAGTACTGGAAATGTCACGGAATATAAGCATGGTGATGCGATGCTGTTGCAAAGGCTGTCGGAGAGCTGTGTCCTCAGATTGATTTTCACGCTTCATTTTCCAGGTGAAGCGTACATGCGGTTAAGCAAACTCCCGGAGGCAGAGCACTGGTACATGGAATCACTGAGATCCAAGACTGACCACATTCCTGCTCATCTCACCTATGGGAAACTCCTAGCTCTAACGGTGAGTACCTACCTTCCTCGCCCTTTAGAAATTGGTTTTCGCCATGCAGACCGAGCTAGATGTGGTTTGAGGTGCTGGTTCTTAGCCAGTTGACTCATAATGATAGCAACACTAAGTTAGAACCCTATATAGAAAATGTGGAAAAAAGTATTTCTTTGACTGTGGGGTTTCCTTTATATAAAATTTGACATGTCATGATTCCTGATGTAACTTAATGAAAACATATAATTGGAGAATCCCCAATTTGTGGTTACATAATGAATTGTCATAATAACAATATTTGTGCAAAGATTATGTTATTATGTTACTATAGTTCCACAAGCCAATAGTAACCCCAAACTGGCAGTAATGTAAAACTAAGTCTAATTCTTTTAAAATAGGCAAACTGGTGTGTCTGTGTGTGGATCAGTATTACCTGGAATTTCTTCTAACTGAAATTATTATAAAAGAAGTGGAGCCACCATTTGGCCACTCATTATGTGACAAGCACTCTTAGAGGCCAAGTTCCATGAAAGTGGTGTTAGTTTGAAGCACAAGAAATTGCTGATATTCTACTCTTATTACTTACAAATGTCAAAATTTCATTTGTTTCAAAGTATTATTAATATTTTTATTTGATACAACAGATGATTGTCCAAAATATGTGAAGTTTCTGAGCTCATCCAGCTACTCAATAGAACTAGCCTTCAATCCTAATCTGAATCTATTACTTATACTGCTTTAGTTATATCACCTGATCTTTCTCCAATATTAATAAAAATAAATGAATATAAGGAACACACAGCAAAAGGTCAGGAAAGTGATTCCTAAGTGAGTGCATAGAAATGTGTCTTATAATTATTTAAAAGTAATAGCATTTACTTTCTCACAGAAGATGCTAGATTAAACACTTAAGATGTATCTATTCTAAGATATCACTAAAATGCTATTAGAGAAATTATATGGGCAGACTAAGTAACCAGAAAACATCTCACTAAAAAAAAGTCTAGAAATGCTAAATAAAATATAACACATATCCTCTTAATGCATAGTTGAGCTCAAAAAGTAGTAAGAGAATTTTCCTGTAGCTAGAAATGAAAGAACTAAACACCATAACAGTAAACAGCGGACTATCATGTAGCTGATTTGGGATAGTTTATCGCTTATGACAACCTGTGGGAAGGGAAGAGGTGTTTTGTTTGTTTGTTTGTTTTTGTTCTTGCTGGAATAAGAGACAAAGCTCCAGATTGGGTGGAAGGCTAGGAATTAGATGCCTAATAAAGCAGATAAATTTATATTCTTAGTGAAAGGATAATACAGACTGAGATTGCATACTGATACAAGAAAGTAGCCTGTCTCAGCATGGGATCTGAATGGAGAATGAAGGAAGTCTCTGCTGGGAGTTTATCCTAAGTTCTTTTCCTACCAGGCTTTGGGTTTTGAATTTACCTAATTTGCATAATCAGGGAATTTCTAGGCCAAGAAATTAAATAAAAAATCAGCCCACTGAAAGCTTTTGCCAAATAAATTATGGATGTCCTTCAAAAAAAACAATTAAATCTAGAAAGAATTAGTGAGGTATGGAAAGAATGGTAAACAAAGTAATGGTTATTATGTTGGTAAATTAGAATAAACTTTTACTGAATAAAAGATTGAAAAAGAATAATCTCATGGGAACGATCAGAGTGAGAGAAGAGATGATAGTTAAATTGATTTTGGAAGTCAGAAAGTGGAAGGAGATATTACAACTGATTTCTCAGAGCTGGCTTTGGGATGGGATAACAATGAAAAGATATATTACGTACTCAGAAAGAAACCTGGGGAGACCACTCAAGATTTTGAGGCAGCCAGCTTAGAAGAGAGTCAAAGAGCATAAAACGAGGTAATCAGTTATAACGTATGGAGCAGTCAGACCTCTCCCCCATGTACACATGCCCCAACCAGGCACTTCCCTGTACGGCAAGCGGAAGGAGGCTCACGGTGGCAGAGCTGTTGAATAATAGAGGTCAGTTCTCAGCAACAGCTTGCACAATTGAAAGTGGAATGAAAGGGACTGGAAAGAAGATTGAGTGAATGTCTTCCAGTGGATACTCGATCGTCAGTACCCTCCCCTACCACATGCAGAACAACAGCACAGAGTTTATACTCCACCAGCTACCCCACCTCACCACCCCACACACATCCCGCCTCCCAAGAAATTGTTGAATTCTTTTCTAGAGAAACTGATCATTGTAAAAAAACCATTTCCGCATACCTACTTTTGGAGAGGCCCTATAAATCATAGTTCCTAAAGCAGATACACAGAAGTGAATCTGTCTAGTCTAGGAAGCACATCTGTGCCTAAGGAACATCATTCAGCTTTTATTTAACTTACTGCTAAATATCAACGGGCAGATGCCCTGGCCAGATGGCTTAGTTGGTTGGAGCGTTGGTTGTACACCAGAAGGCTGTGTGTGGGTTTGATTTCCGGTCAGGGCATATACCTAGGTTGCAAGTTTGATCCCTAGTAGGGGGAGGGAGAGAATAGGGGAGGCAAATGGCAATGTTTGTCTCATACATTGATGTTTCTCTCTCTCTTTGTCTCTCTTGCTCTCTCTCTGTGTCTGTATCTATCTCGGTCTCTCTCAAATCACTAAAAATCATGGTATCAGGTGAAGATTTAAAAAACATTTATATATGCACAACCATGGATCACAAATCATAATATAAAAACCTCAAATGTAAAAGATTGGAACTGATACAAATTATTAGGAGGACAATGAAAGAAAGAGAAGAAAAAACGCTTCTTAACTTGTTAGAAAGAGATGGCAGTGAAGTATTTCATGAAGCAGGATGTAATTAAAACATAAATAATGAAAAATGAGAAAGAGCTTTTAAAAACACTAATACAAAAAGATATGTGCACCCCTATGTTTATTGCAGCATTATTTACAATAGCCAAGATATAGAAACAACATAAGTGCTCATCAATAGACCATTGGAGGAAGGAGATGTGGTATAAATACACAATGGAATGTTACTTGGCCATTATAAAGAACGAAATCTTACCATTTGCAACAACATGGATGGACCTAGAGCAGGGGTGGGCAAACTTTTTGACTCGAGGGCCACAATGGGTTCTTAAACTGGACTGGAGGGCCGGAACAAAAGCATGGATGGAGTGTTTGTGTGAACTGATATAAATTCAAAGTAAACATCTACACTAATAAAAGAGAAATATGGTAATTAGCATACGACCGCTACCCTTTCCATTGGCTAATCAGCATATCCTTATGCAAATTAACTGTCAGTCAAGATGGTGGCCGGCAGCCATGCACTGAAGCGAACAGGGAGGCTTGCTTGCTCCAGTGAAGGGAGGACTCCAACGTTCCCCGCCTGACTTGCCGGCCTCTCAGTTGCAACTCTAAGCAACTGTGTTGCAAATGTAGAAGCTAAACAAAACCCTAGAAACCGGCTTTCAGTCAGCCGGGCTTCAGCCAGCTGGACCGCAACATTGTATCAAATACAGAAGGTAAAGGCCAGAAACCTGCTTTCAGCAGCGAGGCCTCAGAGCTAAAGCTGGCCCAGAATGGAAAAAAAAAAGAAAGAAAAAAAGGAGCAGTTGGGAGCTTCAGTCACCCGCCAGCCTGAAAACGGCCCTCAGCCCCTCAGCCAGACTGGCCAGGCACCCCAGTGGGGACCCCCCACCCTGATCCAGGACAACCTTTCAGGGCAAACCAGCCAGCCCCCACCCGTGCACCAGGCCTCTATTCTATATAGTAAAAGGGTAATATGCCTCCCAGCACCGGGATCAGCGGAGCAGCGAGGCTCCCGGCACCGGGATCAGTGTGACAGGGGGCAGCGACCAAACCCCCTGATTGCCCTGCGGCTCTGTGTGTGACAGGGGGCGGGGCCACAACCTCCCTATCCGCCCTGCTCTGTTCGTGACAGGGGAAGGCGCCCCAACCCCCTGATCAGCCCTGCTCTGTGCCTGATAGGGGGGAGCTCCCCAAACCCCTGATCGCCCTGCGGCTCTGTGTGTGACAGGGTGCGGCGCCCTAATCCCCCCCCCCCCACGGGCCCTGCTCTGTGTGTGACAGGGTAGAGCCATAACCTCTCCATCGGCCCTGCCCTGAGTGTGACAGTGGCAGCGCCCCAACCCCCTGATCGGCCCTGCTCTGTGGGTGATAGAGGGTGGCGCTCCAACCCCCCTCCACGGGCCTTGCTCTGTGTGTGACAGGGTAGAGCCATAACCTCCCCATTGGCCCTGCCCTGAGTGTGACAGGGTGCAGCGCCCCAACCCCCTGATCTGCCCTGCTCTGTGTGTGACAGGGGGGAGCTCCTCAACCCCCTGATCGGCCCTGCTCTGTGAGTGACAGGGGGGAGCTCCTCAACCCCCTGATGGGCCCTGCTCTGCGTGACAGTGGGGAGCTCCCCAACCCCCTGATCGACCCTGCTCTGTGTGTGACAGGGTACGGAGCCCCAACCCCCCTGATGGGCCCTGCTCTGTGAGTGACAGGGGGCAGCGCCCCAACCCCCTGATCGGCCCTGCTCTGTGCATGACAGGTGGTGGCGGCTGCAACCTCCTCATTGACCCTGCCTTGGGGGTGTGAAAAGGGGGGGGGGGCCCCCCCCCCCCCCAATCGGGCCCTACCCTAGAGGGTGGATTGAGGGTGGGGATTTCAAACCTCCCCGTCCCCACCCTGGCTTCTGTGATTAAAAGGGGGGGGGGCCCCAA